AAAGACGCCCGGAGGAGCTCAGAGGGAGGACGCGTGTTGGAGGCCTCCTGTCCTAAATCCAGTGAGAGCTCTTTGTTATCTGCGATGTCCAGGAATACATCAGATCCTCGGCCTCCCAGCCTGACATCCTGTCGGGGCCACACTGAGGAGATCCATCGATCTTGTTCCTGAAAGTACAATGCCGCAGTAGTGCAATGCAGTCAACTTTGTGGTGTACCAGCGACCATGATTGTTATTTCGTGGCCTTTACGGTTGTACAGCAGGGAAGTCAGACTAAAGGTCATTTAAACCGGCCACTGGATAGTAACTGACGGGGCTCAAGAGTGAGCCCCCCTAGGGAGAACTGGACATGTAAGTCCTGTACCTAATAGATACAGTTTCTATCCGCAAAACCATTTAATATAAACAGTAAATGAGGTGTCGCATGAAATTTTAACCATAATTCTGCAATACGTTTTCGTTTCGAAATATTACCTTTAGTAAACCTGTTATATTAACTAACATGTCAGTGATGTCAGGACGCCGGCTGTTCAACGTGCCTCCTTCGAGGCGCCTGTAAAAAGGACTGCTTAAGAAGGATGATTTTTGACTTTGATTTTTGTTTCCCTCATTAATACAAGTATATTCTACAGAAAAAATGCGTAGAAATATTGATTTTTCTACCTTTACTTCAGATGTAACCATAGCTTTAACAGAAGCCCTAATCTCCAGGAGCTGGGGACGCTCCTATTCCAGCGCGTTGCTATGTAATGGTATTTGAATATTAGAGAAGGGCGTTATTAGGACGGCACAGAACATGGGGCAACACTCTTGCCATCATGCGGTCAGGATGACAAAGACACCTCACACGCGAAAGTGCACAGGCACAAAGACCCACGCGCACGCGTAACAGCACCGCCAGGTCGTGTGACCCTGAGGGGGCCGATATCACACGATGGCTGCCCGAATAGGCCGCTCGCGCACAGGCCAATAAGAAGAGCCAAAGCGGATAAAGGCCGCTTGTCCTTAAATACGATGCCGTCGACAGAAAGCGGGCTTGCTGCCCATTGGGAGGATTTGCTGCCAACCGAGAGAAG